GACTGGTTGATCTTCCATAATGTAATGTGATCACCTTCCATGATGTGATCATCCAATCACTCAAAAAGGGAGTTTCCTTGGGGGTGTGGTCTGCCTCCAGGATATAAATGGATGTTCTGGCAGAGCTCGCTCTCTCTCAACCCTGCACTCGTCTCATTGCCTGACCTCTGGTTCCTGGGACATGAGCCCTGCAGAGGTCTCCAGCCTGCTGCCTGACCTGCAGATTTTGGGTTCGCCAGACCCCGCAACTCTATGAGCCTGCAGAGGTCTCCAGCCTGCTGCCTGACCCATGGATTTGGGAACCTCCCAGTTCCCACACCTGTGTGACCCATTTCGTTGAAGTAAGTCTGAGTATATATGCTTCACTGGTTTTGCTCCTCTAGAGAACACAGAGTAAGTTCCTCATTCACTGAGGGGCCATACAATGCCCAGAAATACAGGAGTAAGGCAAACAGTTCTACGTTTCCTAGACCTACATGGATTTTGAGATATTAACAAAAACAGCAGCAAAATCTCTTAGGAGAAAATAACTCAGATACAGCAGAAGAAAAGATAACCAAGACTCATTTTGGTTTAGTCATTAAATGTTAGTCAAACTCAAAAAACAAAGTGCTTTAGGAAAGATAAAGGTTTAAACTCCTTATAAATGGGGCAATGTGTTTATAGGACTCATAACTCTCAGAGAAAACACAGGTTGAAAAGTAAAGCCATGTTTCATAATGGGTCAAATAATTCACATATGATAAACTCATAACAGTTCTGTGGGCAAGAAAGGGCACTTCAGAGACATCCCTGGACTTTGAGACTAACATCATGAAACTCAAAGATTCCACAAAGAAAACTCTGGCCCTTTTTTCAGAGAGGAAGACAGAAGAGCTTACGGTCAATCCCAAAATGGCATTTCTCCCATCCAACCACATGGTACTCATTCTCCATTCACATGGTACTCATTCTTCATCCAGGCAGTGCTCATTCTTCATTCACGCGGTACTCATTCTTCATCCAGGGGTGTTCCTTCTTCATCCACGTGATTCTCATTCTTCATCCATACGGTACTCATTCTTCATTCACATGGTACTCATTCTTCATCCATACGGTGTTCATTCTTCATCCATGTGGAAGTCATTCTTCATCCAGGCAGTACTCATTCTTCATTTAGGCGGTACTCATTCTTCATCCAGGTAGTACTCATTCTTCATCCACTCGGTACTCATTCTTCATTCACACGGTACTCATTCTTCATCCACGTGGAACGCATTCTTCATCCACGCGGTACTCATTCTTCATCCAAGCGGTACTCATTCTTCATCCAGACGGTACTCATTCTTCATCCACGCGGTACTCATTCTTCATCCAGGCGGTACTCATTCTTCATCCACATGGAACTCATTCTTCATCCAGGCGGTACTCATTCTTCACCCAGGCGGTACTCATTCTTCACCCAGGCGGTACTCATTCTTCACCCAGGCGGTACTCATTCTTCACCCAGGCGGTACTCATTCTTCATTCACGCGGTACTCATTCTTCATCCACGTGGAACGCATTCTTCATCCACGCGGTACTCATTCTTCATCCACGCGGTACCCATTCTTCATCCACGC